CATCCCATCCATTCCACAGGCTGTGTGACTCCCCAGGTCATCTCTCTACCTCTTTCCTGCCATGCCTGTGCTGCGTCTCTGTTTGCTGCCCTGGTTATTAAAGCATTATCTCAGGCAATCTCTTCTGCTTCCAGTCGGCCCAGCTCTGACCCGTGCTTCCCATAGGTGTTAGATTTATAGGTTTAAAAATGTATGTCTAATCAGACTTTGCTATGTAAAACTCTGCCATTGCTTCCCATCCTCAGTGGAGAAGTGTCACAGTTCTCAGCAGATGACTTATGGCCCTGTGGGATTTGGCCTCTGCCAACTTCCCCAGACTTATTGCTCATCATCAACCTCCTGCTCTGGTTCTCTGCCACTGAACCATATAAACCCACTCAGTTTCATAAGCATACCTTGTTCGCTCTGTGTTTCCACACAGATGAGTCCCTTTGCCTAGAATATTCTTCTCCCTCTTTTGAACAAACTTTGACTTCTCTTTTATAACCAGCTTAAAGGTAAGGTTCTTTCAACAAGTGTCTTGGGGTCTTCAAGAGAGTTCCTTGCTCTTTGCTTTGTCTTCCTCTTTGCCTCTGATAGGCACCCTTCCATAATAAGTTATCCTGTGCTTGGAGACTGAACTCTTGGACAGATATGTCTCATTCATCTCTCTCTTATGGTTTTTGACTTTGGGGAAGAACAAGGCAGCCAGTAGATGCTATTGAATTAACAGATACAGCCATTTCAAGCCCTTTGACCCGGTCCCCCTTCCAGGGACTCATGTCCGGATTCAGACCCCAGCACAAACTCCGATTTCTGAGTGTCAACAATCACTTCCCTCTATGAGATGTAAGATCCACCAGAACTGGTGCCTCTTGTGTTTGAGTGTGTATGTTCAGTGCTCTCTCAATAATGTTTATGTATGAATGGATTTCCCAAGTCCATGTCGGTCAGTAGAATTAGATTTACCTAACCTAAAATACCCTTCTCCAGAGGATATCACAGGCAGACAGACTATCCAAATTTCATCCTAATTTCTAAAGCCCCTTTCTCCATTGGCATAAAAACAGCACTGACTTTTTAAAAAGATACATCAATGGCTGACCACCTGAATTCCAAACACAAGACTGGATCAGATGTGGCCCAGCAAACTTCTGATGGTTGCGATGGTTATGGCTGGGCTAATTTCTGCCTCCCTTAACATCTGCCATGTTACAGTATTTCTAGGTGAGGGGTCGGTAAGTATAATTCCATATAGAGCAACCAGAGATAAAATAGGCCATAGAGGAGCTGAAGAGGTGGCTCGGTGGTTAAGAGCACTCACTGCTCTTCCAAGGGTCCTGAGTTCAATTCCCAGCACCCACATGGCAGCTCCCAACTGTCTGATGTCACCTTCTGGTGTGCAGATGTACATACAGACAGAGTACCCATACACATAAAATACATGACTAAATAAACCTTTAGAAAAAAAAAAAAAAACAGGCCATAGAAAGTGCCCTGGAATGGGAACCAGATGTTCTTGGTCCCACCCTCAATTCCACCGTGTGCTTAGCTGTGTGATGTGGAGCACAGCTGTCCTGGGCCTTCATGAACCTGTGAAATGGGGATCACAGTGCTCACCCCTCTGATCATCGAAGAGCAAGGTGGTTTGTTGTGTTCTCATTAACTTCCATTTGATTTTCATAGCATGCACTGGTCTAGGCCAGTGGTTCTCAACCTCCCTAATGCTGTGACCCTTTAACACAGTTCCCCATGCTGTGGTGACCCCTCAACCATAAAATTATTTTCACTGCTACTTCATAACTTTAATTTTGCTACCATTATGAATTGGTGAGAGAGGCTTGTCAAGGGGGTCGCAACCCACACGTTGAGAACCGCTAGTCTAGGACCGTAAGACTCTAAACCGAGAGGTGCCTGATCTTTGGGGACAGTTTGTATCAGGAAATAATACATCACCCATTGATATGCTCACATCCACTGTCACTGGCCTCAACCCTGAAGAGATGCTGCATCCGATGGGGAACCTGGAGACCCTGGCAGCCACTGCAGGCAAAATCTTTTGATGAGAACTAAAGACCATTCTTGGAAAGAATCATTATTCTGGGTTTTCCCAGTGATTACTGATGCTCCTAAAAACCAGATGGATGGCTGTAGCTACGAATGAGACAGACTTGGTTTCCCCAGCAGTAAACAGACAATGTTTGCTCTTGGCTTCCAGTGGAATCTCTCCAGAGTGCCCCCACCATCCTGAACTGTCACACTGCCTTCATCACACTACTCCAATAGAGAAGTAAATATATTTTTAAAGATCCATACATGAAGAACTACCCATTCAATGCTCACACCCATCTTGACTATCCATGGCTATTTAGCAGTGTTAGGGTACAAATTGTCTCTGGGTCTGAGAAACAGAAAATCCAGAAGCTTACAGCAGCTGATGATTAGACTCTCCGCCTTAACCCCTTTGAGCCAACCCTGTCCTGGATTATTTTCTTTTCTCCTGGAAATATATATCTTATCTAGGTTCTGCATTGCTTAATACAAGTCATTTGGACCTGTTGGATATGGATCATTTTACTCGACATTTTTTTTTTTCTAATCAATACTTCCAGGGGATCTGAAAACTATGCTCAGGTCAACCCTGCGATGGTTGGATCTCATTTTGCTTTTGAGCCCCGGGATGAGCCTGGACTCAGAAGCGTGTGGTAGTGGGACGTGGTGAGGATTCTCCGACAGAAGTGAGCCTGACTTGCCATCTCTCACTCCTTAGACAGATGCCAAGTTTGCTTTCTAGTGAAGCCGAGTGACTAGCAGAGACCAAAAATAAAAACATCTCTGGTGAATATTGCAGCTTCTGTTTGATCCTCCCTTTGGAAAGCCCTATATTTTTACACCCACCCCATGTTAGGGACAGCGCTGCAGAGGAAGAGCAACTGATACCAAATGTCCCCTTCACAGCCACCAGCATCACAACTACCACAGGGATCCGCTTATGGCTCCCCACGCTGTCCTTCACCCCCCACCTCCCGTTTCCTCGTCTAGGTCATAGGGCACTCTCTGCTTTATTTCACTTCCCAGCATTCTCTATGGCCAGGCAGCCTGTCCTGGGAAAGCATTGAACCAACCAAAGGTCCTACTTTCCTGCTGAGTTAGACGACGAGGCACCTTTCAAGATTTCACAATCTGAAAAAATAAAAATAAAAAATAACCTTTGTCCCCAGGGTTGATCCTACCAAATTAGTTAGCACAGAGAGACGGAATACATTGGCTTAGATAAACCCACAAGGTCTGGCATTCCTGTGATCAGCCATGACTTCTGTGATCAGTAGGGTAGTCTCTGGGTCTTTTCAGTTTCTAATATTAAATGACCCCAAAGAAATTCACATCACCATCATCTCAGCCAAATTATAACAAGGAGATATCATCCTGTCACACAGAGCGGGGATGCATATTTGACGTGACACACCACAGTTGGAGAAGAACGGTATGCTCCTTTCATGCCCCTGTACTGTGACCGGGTCTATGGGAGTCCCAGATGAGGATGTATATATAGCCAGTGTTTCAGCATGCTTCATTCAGAACAACCAGAGCCATTTCGACATCCTCATTTGCATGGAGCAAACTGAAGCATAAACCTAATTAATCTTACCAATAAAATCGGGGTAAAAACCCGAGAGATCAGAGAAGCAGGGGAACAGTCACAATCGGTTCCTACCTCTTCCATTCCTCTGACCAAAAGGTCCGAGATTCTGTCTCCACCCTGCCTTATCACTTCCCGTTTCCTCTCTGTACAGACCTCCAGACCTCTATGGTTAACTAGCGGCTAGCTCTGCCTCTGACTCCAAGCAAGCTTTATTTGTCAGAACACAAATAAAATATCACACAACAGAAGACCTTTGCAGTCAACAGCCACAGTCGTCTGTTGAAACAAAAGGAACCCAACCCTCCACCAACTGTGATGGAAAAGAGGCGCACCACTGACTTGAGGATTGGATAGGAAAGAAATGGGAACTGAAACAGTGGGTCCTAATTTTTTCCCTAAAACACTGACGCTTTTTAAACACACTCTTACCTGAATAAAATGAATAAAAAGCCCCAAGGACCATGGTGAAGGAGGCTTCAGAACAGTGTTCTATTTCCTACTCCCAAATGTGGCTCCTGGAGCTGCGTGGAACCCCAGCCCTACACATACAGTACAAACCACTAGATTGGGGAAGTCTGGGGCATAGGCTTCTAGAAGAAGAAAAAGGCCGGGGCCAGAGAGATGACTTAGGCTTACTGTACAAGTGTGGGGAACTAAGTTCTGACTCCCAGAGTCCGTGTGAAGAGCCAGGTGTGGTAGCATGCCCGTGATTCCAGAACCAGTGAGAAGGGAGGTGGACACAGGTAGATCCTTGGAGCCCACTGGCCACCTCATCTAGCCTACACGGGCAAGTTCCAGGGCAATGAGAGACCTCAAATTAAAGGTGGGAAGTACCAGAGGACAACACCCCAAGTTGTCTTCTGGCCTCCCTTTCCACAAACACATGTGCTGTGCGCGTGCACACTTATATGAGCATGTATGCACGAACCTTCATTCACATGTGATCCACCCACATGTATGTACATACATAAAATCAAAACAGAAAGACAGTTCTCAGAATGGTTGCTTCTGGGTATTTTTTACTATATAAACATGCACGTCATGGCTTATAGGGTGTGGAACTGAGAAGCCTTCCACTCCCTGCCTAAGGCAGATGAATTCACCAAATGACCTTCTTTACCCCAGAGGCAAGCCTCATCCTTGTCTTCAACTGAGCCAGATAGATTTGTTTGGAAATGATTTTACTTGATCTTCTTTGTCCGGCCTCCCTCCCCTTTCCCACCTATCTCTTATGACTAAGCTATAGTCTCACCCTAGATCATGGGTCTCGCCCAGTGCTTCTCTGCTTGGCCTCCAAGTAGAAGGGATCCTGAGGGATCGTCCCATTTCCTTACCATGTAGCTCATTTCTCCTCATGGAGCCAAGACCCCAGACCCACCTACGCACACCACGTCCATGAAGCCATACATCCCGTAGCAGATCTGGAAGAGGAGGTCTTGGCGCTGCCATTTTGCTGAGGGACTGAAGGTCGACCAGATGAGCCAAGAGATACTGGCAATGAGGAAGAGAGAACCCAAGATGGCGGCGGCAATCTGAACCTTCTCGATGACCGTCAGGGATATGGCCTGCCACTGGGGAGGAGAGAGAGCGGCAGATTAGCTGCTTGAGCGCCTGGATCCCCTTCCCACACTCTACTTCTGCTCCAGCAGCTCTCTAGAAGAGCTTAAACCGGGGCGCTTCTCCACTTGGAGAACAACTTTACAGTTTCATATTCTGTTTTTGATGCAGAGGGAACCCGTGTCATAGAAAAGGATCAGACATCATTGTCAGGAGGGGGCTCTGGGCAGGCATGGCTGAGGAGGAGACCCTTACACTTGACTTTCACAGACATGGAAATCCAAAGGCGAGAAGGCAAACAACGCTGGTGTGGGTGTTGTTCCGGCGCAAACACGGTTGATTTTCTCACTAATAGGTGCCAAGAGGGCACGGGTCTCTCTTTGACTGTTTTGTTTTGTTTCACCTTGCACGCCATTTAATATGCATGTCAGAGATCAACAGTTTGACAGAGGAGAGGACATGGGATGTGGGCGTAAGGAAAAAAAAAAAAAACCAGCTCACACTATACTGATTGCATTTTAACTCTTTCTTTTTCAAAGAAAAAACAGTGTACTTATGGCAGTGTTGAGTTGGAGCTGAAGTGTGGGTGAGTTTTGGCTATGGAATTTTATGATTATATGTTTCATCTATGGAGCAATGTCCTAAATTAGCCTTGAGTAGGATTTTTTTTGTTGTTGTTGTTTTGTTTTTGTTTTTTGTTTTGAGACAGGGTTGCTCTGTGTAGCCTTTCCTGGAACTCCGAGGTAGCCCAGGCTGGCCTCGAACTCACAGAGATCTGACTGCCTCTGCCTCCCGAGTACTGGGATTAAAGGCCCGTGCACCACCACCACCACCACCACCACCCAGCAGCCTTGAGTAGGATTTTAGTTTCGGCTTGTTTCACTTAACAAATTAAGTATTGACTATTTCTATGTGCCAGGCCTCTATGCTAGGCCCTGGAGTTAAAGCACTAGACAAGACTGGACAAGACCCTTGCCCTGTGGTACCCACAGCCTTGGGGGCACATAACTAAGAATTTACATATGCAGTCTGTCATGGATCTGCATAATATCCTTCAGGGAGCATTCCCAAGAATCGCTGTGGCCTAAACACAAAGGAGAGACACAGTGCCTTCCACCTGCCAACAGGGACCCCACCATCTGTCATCATTGGCTTGGATGGGGTACCAGTGGTCTCCTGAAAGAGTCCCCCCAGTTGAGGCTCCTTCCTGGAGCCCAGATTAGGCACAAACCACACCCAAACACCTGTTTTCACAGAGAGATCCTTTACTAAGGGGGGGGGGGGCTAAAAGGGCTGCTTTCTGTCTCAGGCGGAAAACAGCAGCAAATGACCTTGCAGCTATGATTTTTAAGAGGAAAAAAGGGGGAGGTCTGTGTTAGGATGGGCTGGGATGAGGTGGTAAAGGAGACAGAGGATGAGGGAGGAGGGCACAAGAGGAAAGGGGCAGGGGCCTTTGTCCCAGAGGACAAAGAACTGCCTCAGGATAGAGAGGAGACAGACACAGCACATAGGAAAACGGCAGATTTTAAACGTACAAGGGGAAACCCCATCTTAGGATGAGGCGTTTCATTTTAACTGGGCATGTTAATTAGGTGATCCAGAGGGGGCTTCTGATTGCTGGACTTCAATACTTTGATAGCTGGACCTTGGTAGTCAGCCTCAGGAGGAGGAAGAGGCCAAATAAGCGACTAGACCGTGGGAGCTAGCTTTAGGAATGTCATCTAATGGTTTTATAGAGATGAAGGGAAGCGGAGAGAAAGGCGAGGCCTGCCAGAGCCACATGTTCTGGTGGGCTAGCGTCCCTTCACCTCCAAGGGACAGTAAGTATTGGAAAACACTTCACTTTTAGTCCAGATGTAGGACATGGGCCTTAACATTTAATTACACAGCATCCAATTACAGAGACTTGGCCCGTTCAATTTTCCAGTACTTTCCAGCTTAGGGTTACACATACCAAAGGCATTTTCCAGAAGACACTCCTATCATATAGACATCCCTCATGTACAATAAATGCCTTTTCCATGGCCAACCCCGCGCTGTCTAGAAGAGAGTTTCTAATGAGATTTTTGTTTCTACCATTTAGGCGTCCCCTCCTTCTCCTGCTCCTTCATCATTCCAAAGATACAGAGGCATAGAAAAGTCCTCTTCATCCCAATAATCTTCCCTTCCATTCCTAAGCCACCTAATGGGGCCCCTGACCAGAGTGAGCGTGATGAAGAAGAGCGGGGGGGGGGGGGGGGATGAGGTGCTGTGTCCAAGAACTCTTTCTTGTCCTGTGAGAGGCTCCATGGAAGTGCATGGGAGGGACCTCAGGGAGAGAGCTGAGGAGCAGAGAGCTCTGAGACCTGACAGGAGGGCTTGGAGTGGGGAAGGGCATCAGTGGTACCAAGTTCTGCTGCCACCAAACACCCGGAACACCGGAATCTCCTTCTCAACGAGGTTCTGATCCCCAAATCCTAAGATTCTTCCCCCTGGGAACTCCAGTCCTGCAGCACCTGGGAGTGAAGGGACAAAGTCGGGGTGCCAGGAAGGGCCAGCAAGGAAGGGGGAAGAGGACCCACTTCTGGTTGAGCTGTGTCCCCAAACTTGTTGGGTGTGAGTAAGAAGTTAGTAAATCACAATGACTGTCAATTTTTCCTTCTCTAGAGATGCAGTTAATTGGTCCCAGAGTCTTAGGAGTGTTAAATGTGAAGCCAGGGCGTAAAGGGCATCCTTTACTGTTTCAGTAAAGACACAAATAAACTTGTCAAGGCAGGCATGAGTATATAGGGGTGTACGTGTGCCTGGGTATTATATTAGGGGATAGTTGCCTGGCCTCAGGAATTCCTGTTGCAGACAGCAATCTGCTCCTCCGCTTCAGAGCTGCACAGGCTCCAGTAGGTTCCCAAGTCCCTCTGTGCCTCCATTGTCTAAACCTGTGCATCCGGTAATAATAGCCCTCACTTCCTTGACTTGTTTCCAGGGTAAAATCTGATAATGCACATGAACTGACACTTAACAAGCAGTAATTACATGTTTATTAGTATATCATAGTCTTCCTTCATTCAAGGGGAATGCATTCCAAGGCCCCCAGTAGATACCTGAAGCCTCGGACAGTAGTGGACCCTATATCCAAATATGTCGTGACTCATGCCTGTTGATCTGTAGCCACGATGGCTCCTAAGTAACCAATGGGTAAACAGCGCAGACAGCTTGAATGGATGAACAAAGGGATGACTCATGTCCTGGGTAGGATGGAGCAGGAAGTCATGACATCTTCTCACCCTACTCCAAACAATATGCAATTAAACGTTTTAATTTTTTTTCTAGAGTTTTCCTTTTAATATTTTTTGATGGCAGCTGGCCATGGTTAACTAAAACCACAGGAAAATAGAATTAATGAAGTTGCCATTCAGAGGTATCAACAGCAATGTGGGGAGCAGTCAATGGGGCCTCGAGACTCACTAGGCTATGACCCCTTTCTTAGTAGGTATTCTAGATACAACAAGCCTTGCTTTGAGAATGTCACTAATATCATTCCTATAGTGAGACTTGAGCTATTTCTTACATCTTTGCCTGGGACACAAACCAGGAGCTGAGAGAGCCAAGATACATGGAAAGGTACCTCCCAGCTAGGATGCCGGAACCCTATCCATAGCTCTGTTGGCTTCTAGTCAGGTCTGCCTGCTCCAACCTCTACTGCAGAGAGTCCAGCTGGGCTTTTTGCACAGACGGTGGCCACTTGTGGCAGGGCAGGCAGTCATGTCATACTTAGAGAAGCCCAGGACACACGCTTGGAACACTTTAGGACACAACCATACAGCACACCTTCGAGTCCCAACTGTTTCTAGACAGAAAAATGAACGGGCATTTACTGAGCGCACACTACTGCATTTCCAGGATCAACAGAATCAGAGGGGTCCCCTGTGCCTAGAAACTCATAATTGAAGTCAGCGGAGTAACTCAGAAATAGATGAACAGGCCAATATTGCCAGCGCTGCCATTTGCTCACCCGATGCAGACTCAAAATAACCTTTCTTTACGCCAAGAAGAAAGCTATACCTGAGTGATTTTTTCATTATATGAGTCAAAGGTGGAACCAAGATGGGGGGTGTCTTGGGGTGAGTTCATAGATTTTTGGATCTGACCTTTCCTGAGGCCTGAGTCAGCTGTAAAGCGAGGGGCGGGTTAATGCACTCAGACCTCCACTGCACCCTGAGGACGTGGAATCAGCTGTTGCTTGGCGCTGCTATTTTAAGACGTTTCAGGATCTGAGACAAACGAACTGAAGATGGAACCAGCAGTTGGGAGGGGCTGAGATGCCTGGGAATTTGACGCTTCCCTCCCACGCACTCCTGAGAGTTCCTCCATGGGGAAGGCCACGGGGCAACTCTACATTTTGGGGTGCTCCTCAGTGCAGAGACACTACTACAATCACCCACTCCCAACCCTCCTGGACTTGCGGCTGACTCTGCCCCACTCACAGAAGAGGGAACATGTCGGGCATCTGTGAGCTCCATCCTCACTGTCTCGCTGGCTAATGGATTACGTGGCTGCTTGGCTGATGACATATCTGTGGAGGTATTTGCAGAAGCAGAATGGTGTGTGTGTGTGTGTGTGTGTGTGTGTGTGTGTGTGTGTGTACATACTATCTTCACTGGTCAACTGCTTGATGTGGCTGATTGGCCTGTCAGCAATTGGGGTGAAGATGGCTATGTCAGCAGAGGAGGAGAGGAGAGAGTGGGCAGAGAGAGCCCTGAGTTCTGCCGATCTGATTGACAGGTCCCCACTCCAGCTCTGGCTTGGCTTTCCCTTACCTCTCAGGGCAGCCTTTTGTTGCTATGACGTCACGGTTTCCTTCTTCCTTATTGTACGCCCCCTCCTCCGTTTCCTCTGCCCCTCTTTTCTGCTTCCTCCCCAGTCCTTCCCACGCTGTCCCTTGTCACAGAAAGTGTGGTCTGTGGGCCAGCAGGAGTAGCCCCCTTAGCTTGCTAACAATGCAGGCTCCCAGGCCCTGCTCTAGACCAGTGAACTGAAATCCACTCCGTAAGACTCTAAGTAAATCACAAGCACATCAAAGCCTGAAAAACACCACTGAGTTGTCTCATCTGCTCAGCTTCCTCTCAAGCCCTTGGCTTTAACTCGAACCTCACCTTTCCCACCATGTACCCCCCAACTACCTGTTCTCTTTGTCTTTGATTTTTCTCTTTTCCTCCCTCCCTCCCTCCCTTCCTGTCTTTCTGGTCCTTCCTCTTTCCTCCTCTCCCATTCCTTCCTTCCTCCTTTCCTCTTCCCATCAACCCATCTGTTATCTTATTCCGTCTCTTCCATCCGTCTCCCCTGACCTCTTTCCTCGTATATCGTATATGTCTCTCTCTCTCTCTGCCCAGCCCTCCCCTTCTTCTCTAGACTTAAGGGAAAAGAACATCTTCCGTCCTCTCCTGACTGTATGGCTCCATCAGCAAGCTGCCCTGAACCTGAGGTTCAGCAGTTTCCCTTCCACGGGGGAGCCTCAGGCTGGGAAGCCCTGGATTTACCTGTAGAGGATTCTTTGTGCTTATGGCGATGACATGGTACTTGTAGTAACACAGCTCACAGCTCCAGCAACCCCTCTCACTGATCCACTTGATGAGACACGGCTGGTGGGTACATTTCACTGAACCGTCGCAGCGGCATGGGCTTAGCAGCTCTCCCTGTGGGGGGAAAAAGAGGGACTATGGTGAGCCTGGAGCCCCAGCCCGGCCGGTGATGGCTAGGCGGATGGATACCGAAATCCTGATCCGGTCCGCTCTGACAGGATGAGGCTGCTCCATCCAAGCCACAAGCTCTGTCTGGAGGCACCGGAGTCTGCTGAAGAGACCTGGGCTCCCCTGTTCCTACCCTAGAAGCCAAGCAGCAATAGTCAGCTAAACTACCAGTCCTGAGCCGTCCCTCCTTCCTGGCACGGTACAAACCAATGCTTCCTAAGCTGCTTAAGACCTAGGATGTCCGTGGACGCCTTCTGTAGTCCAGAGGTGGGTGGTAGGCGCCTCAAGTTTCTCTTTAGAAACTCAACGAAACCAAAATACCCACAGGGCTAGAGAGGAGACACAAATGACAGAAATCTGCTGGTGGAGACAGGAGTGATTTGGGAAACACAGACTGAGAACAGGACAGCCACCTCCATCACCAGCTAGCGACAGACGAGGGAATATGATAGCCTTTGTATTTTTGGTAGTGCTGGTGACTGAACCCAGGACCCCATACAGACTATTCCCAGCTCTATAGGGAATCTTTCTCTAAAACTTCTCGGCAGCCTGGTTGTCACAGTTTAAAAGTATGTCACACGGGTCACTTTGACCGAGTGCAGAGAGATGCCTATAGGCCACGGGACTCGGAACTTGAGCCTTTGCGTTCTCCGGCAAAGACACTGGTCCTCTCAGTGATGCTTTCCATGCTGGGCCCCTGAGTGGAAAAGGAATGTAGGTCAGGCCTGAATCCTGGGGATCTGGGAGGCTGGCCAGTGTCCTTGCCGAAGGCCTGGGTTGCTCCAGCTGACTTTGGGGCTAAGGACAAGAGACCAGCTTAGGGGCATTGGAAGCTGGGAAACAAATCTGGCCAAGCTAGATGGTGTCAGGATGGGAAACCCCTTGTCACTGAACTGCAGAGTGTGGCTCATTCTCTAGAGCTGCCTGTGACACTTCAGATAGCCACAATTGGAACCTCTGTCTCTTGTCACCTGATATGGTGGCCCCAAAGTGCCTCTGTGTACCTCACCAGTTAGTGTCCTGGATCTCGCTCTGTAGATCAGGCTGGCCTGGAACTCATAGAGATCTGCCTGGCTCTGCCTCCTGAGTGCTGGAATTAAAGGCATTCGCCACCACCACTGCCCGGCTTCCATTTCCCTTTTTTTTGTTCTCTCTTTCTCACCCTCTTTCTCCTTCCCAGCTCCCCATCCACCCTCTTTGTTCATTAAATCCCCATTGACTCAGGTCTTACACTCACCTTCCTAGGGACCTTAACATCTGGGCTCTGCATTCCCTCTGACCTTACTCGGGGGCTTTGCTCTTGCATCTTACTCTTCCTTTGCTGTCCATGCTTCCGGGCCAGGTCACTCATTCCTGATCCAGCTCCTCTGCCTGAGTCCTATTCAAGGATCCGTGCCCAGCCCTGAGCCCTGAGATACTAAGTTTGGGATAAGGCTGCTCAACCACTTCCCTGTTTCTTTGACTGTTCCGTCATTTCCGAAACAGTGCCTTGTTCTCAACCGTGAACGAACAAGCCCCGGATCTCCTGGCCTCTGAGTGTGTCAGTCTGCATATTTAGTCACATTCGTCACTGTTGACTCCAGGACCAGCCATCTCCTTCTTAGGATTTCTGGGGTCATCTTTCCCTTTCATTTCAACTCCTATACACAAAGCCTTAGTCTTGGCTTGTGAGGAGTCCTTTTGTTCTCAGTCTACTCAAATGGTTAATTTTGTTTTTCAGACGGCTCTGATGCCAGTTCCCGAAGGAAGTCATCCATCCTTCTCCAGGTGGAGATCGGTACTCTAACCGACAGGGCTTTCCGCTGGTGAATTTAGCACGTCACTCAACACATGCCCACAAGGATCTAGTCACGTACCTATCTGCCCTCCAAAGGGAGGCAGGGGTGAGGTTTACATCCTTGTACATCTTCTCCCTTGTGCCAAGCCCTACAGTAGAAGGCACTTGGCAACCTTTTGAATGACTAAATGAAAAAATAAATAAATAAACCAAATGTCATCCTAGGCTCCTGCATTGTCCACTCTATGAGAATAGGAACTATGTTAATTTTTTTTTTTTCGAGACAGGGTTTCTTTATGTAACTCTGGTTTCCTGGGACTAGCTCTTCAGACCAGACTGGCTTCAGACTCACAGAGATCTGCCTGACTCTGTCTCCCAAGCGCCGAGATTAAAAGTGTGCCACCACCACCAGGCTAACCATATTCATCTTATTAACCTAGTAATTTTTGCAGCTCCTGGAACCCCACGCACCTGTGTGCAATGACTTTCCTGGGTAGCAGAGAAACCTGGGTACCCAGCACCACAAACCATCATCACCTAGTTCCCCATGCTGCTCCCTAGGAACCGACCGCTTCTCTGGGCTGTGGCCTTTCCCAGTCCCAGTTCACGGCACTTCCCAATTAGTCTCCAGGTCATTGCACTGTGACTCCCTCACAGGGCAGAATTTTTCACAACTTCGCATCCTTAGCATTCAGTACCATGAGACAATAATCTGTCTGACTTTGGCCGCTGATCCTGGGCTTATTTGTGTGATGAACAAGAGGTTTTACTTCTCCGGGACATATCCAGTCTCGAATTCTGTGATGCCTGTCTGTGAAGAAGAGGCAGGAGTTGTGCATGTTACTGGCCCCACAGTGCACCCAGCCAACTCCCTGAGGTGCTGAGTGTCTGTGCTGTGGCTACGAGAAGGAAATGGGAGGGGGTGAGTGGAGCGAGGTGCTGGGGGAGGGGCAAAGCCCTCATTATTCATGGCAGCATTTCCTAGGCTCATTAATTCTAACAGGATGAGCTAGGCTTGATTAATCGGGTTGTTAAGCAGCCATGTCAAGTCGCCGATCAGGTAAAAGACATTACTTCCGGTCGCTGGCAAGGAAGCGAAGTTGACAGCAGCCCGCACCCCTTGTTTCCCGAGCAGCAGCTAGGAGAAGAGGTCTGAAGAAGCTACCGGCTGGAAGCAGCTGATAACGCAATCTCCGCTCTCCACCTTGGCTCTATACGGGGACCTCTGGATCTCACGAGAGTCCTTTGAACAGTCTCATACCTATCTATAGAGGAAGGGTGTTTGGCCCAGCCTGGCCCCAGCGCCTGGATCAGGGGCCAAGAGGCCAGAGCTGAGGTGTTTCCCCTGAAGCAACTCATTAATTCCCCCACATGTACACTAGACAACCCCAAAGGCAGACTGGATATTAGTAAGCAAGGTACCAGAACGCCTTTTAAAAAATATTTATCTGATGAATAAAGTCATGCTAGATTAAAAAAAAATCCACGAAGCTCTTTCAAACTTAGCATTTGTGCAAGTGCTATGCTGATTGCTTACTATATATGTATGTATGTATATATACGTATGTGTATATGCATGCATGTATATATTTTATGTACCTCAGGACGAAGGCCACAGTCCTTTTGCTGATCAGGGTAAAATGCCAACTTAGCCTGGGTCCTTCTGGTTATACCCACGTGTCTTCAGGAACAGTAAGAAAGAAATAACTGGCCGCCCAAACGGGATCATGTTAAACTTAAGGAAGATGCTCTTCACAGTAAGCTCCATTAAAAGCTAAAACGAAGGGGGTGGGGAGGTGGGGGCTAGAGCAATAGCTCAGTTCAGTTGGTAAAGTGCGTTGGTGCCCAAGGACGAGGACCTGAGGGTTTTTTTTTTTTTGTTTGTTTGTTTGTTTTTAAAGATTTATTTATTATGTATACAGTTAGTGTTTTGCCTGCAGGCCAGAAGATGGCGCCAGATCTCATTGTAGATGGTTGTGAGCCACCATGTGGTTGCTGGGAATTGAACTCAGGACCTCTGGAAGAACAGCCAGTGCTCTTAACCTCTGAGCCATCCATCTCTCCAGCCAGAGGACCTGAGGTTTGCTCCTCAACACTCACATAGAAGGTAGAGCTTAGCCATGCCTGCTTGAATCCCGGAACTCGGGAGGCAGGGACAGGGGGCTCCTTGAGGCTCACTGGTTAGGTGACCTGGCTCAACAATGGCAAGCTCCAGGTCTTACTGAGAGATGTCTCAAAAGTAAGGTAGATTGCTGGGGTGGTGGTGGTGGTGGCGGCGGCAGCGGTGGCGGCGGCAGCGGCGGCGGCGCACGCCTTTAATCCCAGTATTCGGGAGGCAGAGCCACCGGATCTCTGTGAGTTCAAGGCCAGCCTGGTCTACAGAGTGTGACATTTCAGGACAGCCAGGGCTACACAGAGAAATCCTGTCTTGAAGAAGAATAAGAATAAGAGGAGGAGGAGGAGGAGGAGGA